CTAATGACATTCCCATTAGCCTCTGGTTTGTCTAGTGCTAATTAGCAAATTTTAGCATATTAACATGCTAAACCCAAATGGGTAACAAGGTAAAAAGGAAATGCACTTGCTTAATATCATTTTCATTGTGAGCATGTTAGCAGGCTGATATTAGCATTTAACTCAAACCGCCACTGTGCCCAAGGGGTTCCCCACCTCTATATTCCCTTAATATAACACATAAGACACACATCTGTCTTTCTAGTGATTTCAAAGATTTACTATTTTAGATTTAAAGATTTTATTTAAAAAAAGAGCTATGTCCTCTCAAAGTTGTTCTGTTGCTCTTGTTTTCAGCTGTGTGTTGAGTTTTGAGCATGTGACTCTTGATATAAACTTACATTGTAAGACATTGGTATCTTTATCAGCTATCTTCACAGTTCAGATTGCAAAAAGAATGAAGGGAGCCGGACGTTTCAAATGCAGTGTGAATTGCAGATATCTGTTGAGCCACTGTTGAGACAGAGATCTGTCTGTAAATTTTAAGGAGTTAACATCAGAACGCTATAATCTGTTTATGGGTGATTTCACCATATTGACCTAGGGAAAACATTGCTATATATATAGTCTGTCCTATGTGTAGAAGGCATTGAGCAGGGGAACATATAACTCCGCTAACACAGATACACTCCCTGAGTACAGCATCACAGAGCTGCTGGCTCTTTTCTTGTTTTTCTCTCATTTCATTATCTCAGCATGCAACAAACTGGGAGGAATCAGTGAAGTCTATTTCTGATTTGAACTTTGAGAGACAGTGAAAAGTCAGATCCAAAGACAGACACAGAAATTGACATACCACATAGAAACAGTGATGGGAGACAGATGGAGTCAGACAGTGGGAGATTATCAAAGGTTTCACCAGTCTGACCTGTAACACAGTTGAGATGGAGGGACAAGGACGCTCTGTGTTCTTTAATCCGCTTTCTCATACCGAGTTACTGCGGCCCTCATGGGAATCAGTTTCAGCCCGTCACAGACAGACTGTGGGATCTAACACACAACTCAATCACAGAGCTGACTGCAAAGACAGGAGTGAATATCAGATACTGGAAAAAAGTTCCTATTTCAGTGAGTTGAGCAAGATGGATGCACAATAATTAAAGATACTGATACTGAAGCAGCAGAAATCTTTGCTCTGTGATCCCACGAGCCATGTGTCTGATGTTTATGGAAATACATCATCTTCATCCATCACTAAAACTGACTATCTTGCTGGGCTGATTTTGGTTCTTCAGAAATGAAAAGACAGATTTTATAAATTGATTTTATTTAGAAATCAACTCCTCATGAAGATACAAAATGCTTTTAATTTTGAGATTGTAATGTAGTGAAATGTCAAACAGTGTTAAGTTTACGTACCCCCATAAAAAATTCTGACTTTTTTTCATAAAAGTAGAGTGGTTTTCCTTAGAATGAACTCTTTAATTCATGTTTCTAAATTCCCTGCACAAGACCCACATGAATACAGAACATTTCACAAAATAGGAGCAAAATTAATTAAAAAAAAAGCTTTTCAAGCTGAGAAAAACATCCATGATATTTCACCTGTAAAAAGTGCTTTTGGTCATTATTTGTGCGTTTCTATCTGATGAATCTCTTTCACCCTCTAGTGGTAGTAAATTGCTATTGAAGGAGCAGCTGTAGACGTGTGCACTCGGTCCCATCACATGTGCTCTGGGTGGTTCTGCAGACAGGTGATAAACTCTTTCACTTCTTTGCCCTCAAAGCAGATCTGGTAGACGGCAGAAAACAATGGAAACCTATAGAAGAAAACAGAGAATCAGACTCAGTTTTACTGGACGTTTGTTGGTCTTGGTCACAGATCAAGGACAGAAAGGTTTTCACATGACAACTTATCAATGACTCAACCATGACTAAACAATCTGTCATAATTTAATGGAACTACACACCCACATAGGTGATTTCACTTATGGCTGATTAGATCTCTGCTCAGGGTGAAGGTGGAGGTGAAGAATTACATAATGTCAACATAGTACTAAGAAGAAATAAGGTGTTTTAAGTTGTTTCACTAACAGATTCTGGTTCTTAATGCTTACAAGACACAGATACAACAAAACTAATAAGAGAATGAGGAAGATGTCAAGACAAGAGGCCTAATCAGGCAAGTGGAAACACCTGTGTCAGACGACAACGGCTGTGTACAGTGTAACTTTACTTCAATCTCACAGCATTGCAAATATCCATAATACACATTTAAAAAGGAGAGAAAAGCATCCAATAAACCTTCTGTTGGTTAATCATCTAGGGGCAAAGTCAAGGCCTGTTCATGCAGACACAGGCTACACTTTATCAGCTACACCTGCACAATGTAATGCAGCCCAATACAACTGTCAGCATTTATGAGGCCTATGATATGCAGCCTATTTGACACTGTGATAGAGGTGTTAATTCAATTCTATAGTTTAGCAATGAGGCTGATTCCCGATATGACAATAGTTAAGTTAATTTTCTACCTGGAAAAAATATAGACCTTTTTCTATGTGGTTTCGCACACCAATTTTACACCAATATGATCATGCATAGGTACACAGAAAGCTGTTTTCTTAAACAAATGCCCTTTAAAATGTAAAATAATATAACATATACATGGCAAACCAGTTTTAGCTGACACTGCTGAGAGCTGCTCACTCTTCTTACTGCTTTTTGCCACAATATTGTAAATCACAGTGCACTCTGCTGGATAAACTTTGCTGTGATACCAATATATTACCACAAGCATTTTTTTCCCACGTATACGCAGATATTGATACAATACCAATATTGGCTGATAATATTGGCTCTACTGGACTGCATTATAGGTGTTTCTAATATTCTGCCCCGCTCATGTAAGATGATAATAAAAAATTGAGCTCAATAACAAACATATAATTGAGTATACAACATATATTATAAACTTTGTAAATGCAGAATTGTAGTATTGAATTGCAGAAGAATGCACAGGTGTACCTAATAAAGTTGCCACTGAGTGTATATCATAAATGTAGATATGTAGTTGAATATAACGAGTTGTCCTAGCCCAATACCCAGCAGAAGCATTGTGAGACATCGTATTTAAGCATGCATTCGAGATGTGTTTGAAATGGACCAGTTTGATTCATGTGGTTTTACAAAAAACAGGTAACAGTGTTAACAGTGTTAGTTTTTTATAGAAGTAAGTGGACTCACTTGTTGACCATGTCCCTCTTTTGTAGGAGCTTGTAGACCTCGGCTGAGGTCTGTGGACCCTGCAGCTTCTGGCCGTTGAGCATTTCTGCCTCCAGCTCAATGATAGACTGGGAAAAAAAATACAGACAGTTTTAACTGTTGTTTGGGGACATCTTCTGAATATGTTCATTTCCTCATTTTATTGTCATATTCCTCATATTGTTGTTCAAACAGTACACTGAGGTTTCCTGTCACAAATCATTTATCTATTACCCCCAGTAGATGGTTCAGTTTCTGTAGTCTATTCAGTAAAATGCAGACAATTAATACTATGTAACATATCAAACTTTTAATGCATGACCTCTACAATATAAATTCAAAACAGCTGATTTAACTAAGTTTATTTTGCAACTATTTCAAGATAGTGTAACAAATTACTGTGAGTGACAAGTTACTGTAAGCTAAATCTTCATGTCCGACTCACTTTGGACGTTTTGACAAAGGCCTCGGCAACTTTCCGGTTTCGTCCTCCGTAGCAGGTGGTGATGAGGTCAGCCACGCCACAGCTTTCCAGGAAAGTGGTGGAGCTCACCTGGCCCTTGCGGAACAACTTGGCGAAGGCGATCATTTCCATCAGACCGAGCCTGATCACCGCCGCCTTGGTGTTGTCGCCAAAACCGAGGCCGTCGCAGAATCCGGCACCTACAGCCACAATGTTCTGCATGCAACATTTTGCTTTTAATTAACACACTGAGAGAATATTTGAAATTTGGAATAATACATATTTTTGATAATAAAAATTTAGACATTTTCATATTCATAAATTCTGAATTTGTTTATGAGGTTAGAAGGAGTAGATGCCCTTTAAGGATTTTAATGTGTACTTTTTTGTGGAAAAAACATATTAGACACACATTTTTCCAAGCAGACTATTTGTATATGTTGTAATGGAGGGGAGCTTTAATATTCACAATATGTGGCTGTCTTTACCTTCAGAGCTCCACACAGCTCCACTGTATCACTCTCCTGTACAACAGTGATGCGGAAGTTGGGAGTTTGAAGCAGCTCTTTGAAGATAACGCCGTTTGCCTCATTTTTTGCCCCTGTATTGAAAGCAGGTTGTTAAAAAGAAGAAGATAAAGAGAAAAAAGGTCACTCAATTCTAAAACATGGAAGTAACGCAGTGTTTTTCTTGTTGTCTTGACAACCACACCGCATCCTCTTTTGGTCGTAAATCACCCTCTGCATGCAAGCAACGTTAGCAAGATTTTGTGGACTTTAAAATAACAAAATAACCGTTATAGTACAAAAATGGTGTCTTACCGATGGTGGTTTCACAGAACTTCTCATCTGCCACCTCGCTGGCAATGTTGGCCCCCATTAGGACGCTGACTTCAATCTCTAGTTTCTCTCGGATGATGTCTGAGATGAGCTTTAGCCCATCTGGCCCCTCATCGATACCCTGGATGACAATAACAATTGTCTGTATTTTTCACAAAGTGACATAATCTCTGGCCTGGACAGGGCCTTGAGGTACTGGTGATCGATAGGCTACTTTATGTTTCATATGAGTGACTGGCTGTGTATTGTTCAACTACAACGTCCTGTGATGTCGTGGCTACAGAACCATATGAAGTAAAGTCAAGTGACTGAATATTTCTCTGTTTCCCCTTTTTTGCCGAGAGGAAATCTGACACAAAGATCACTGGCAGGCTCTTACTTTGATGAGTGATATCCCGATGGTTCCCTCCGTGATGTGAGGTTTCATCTGATCACAGAGTTTGCCAATGAACTGGTGCGGGATCACGAAGACGAGGATCTTTGCCCCTTTGACGGCTTCTGTGATGTCTGGAATAGCGACCTAGTGAGCCATAAACAATAAAGAAATATGGGTCCCGTATTTTGAATATATAATTGTTACATACATGGCAGATACAGGAAATAAACATACATGACAATAACAAAAACTACATGCACAAATATTATTATGCCAGACTCAATTCAAAGCTAAATTATACAAAAAAACTGAAGTAATTTTTTAAAAAGCCCTTGCTCTTGCTACCCAAGTCTTTATTGAGATTTAAAGACTTGGCAAGTTTGGAAATAAGAAAAATCAGCACAAACTAAAACCAAATTGTCACTTCTTGGAAAATACCTCAACATGACAACATGTGGTTATCCACGAGGAAGTGACAAATACACAACAAAATGCAAGGCAAGCCTATATTATTAATAGTTCATTCTAACCAAATCAATATTTATTTTGTATAGACTAGTATACATTGTCCAATGTTATGGTTCACAGGGGGATAAAAACTGTCTCTTCTTCTCCTGCACCCAATTACATAGCAATGGTAGATAAACTTGATGAGACCCAAGAGATATGGGTCGAAGTGAATTTATCTTATCAGTGTAATGTCTCACTGTGCAATCAAAGCCTGTTTCAAGAATGCAGTGGAATTGCCTCACCTGTTGACACAGAGCCTCCTTATCAAAACTCCTCTAAATTAGAGCACTTACCACATTTCTAGGCAGCTTGTGACCCGGCAGATATTTGACGTTTTCGTGGTCCGTGTTAATGATCTCTGTTAGCTTCTTTCCATCAATCATTTCTTCGTAAACCCACATATTCACCATTGGGTCGAACCGGTTGGATGCTTTGACATTGTGCCCGATTATTTTGGCAATGGAAGAGCCCCTGGAGGGAGTGAAGGACATGAGCAGACGGTGAGTGTAAAACTAACATTTCAACCAATCCACACAGCAAAGAGACCCCCCTAAAAAAAAACACTCTAGATCCAGACTAATGAATCAAACTGAATTATGGGAAACTATAACAGGTCTGCTAGGTTTTGGGTATATCTTAAAGGGTGAAAACCAAGCATTTTTACTTAAAATCAGGTGAATCAGAATTTAAATGTGCAGGAAAACGCAAAAGCAGTGTACAACCTCCTAATTTCATAATACACTGATGGCCACATTGGGAGGTAAAACTTCCATTAAGTATCCAAATGTCATTATCATCAGTTATTATGAGGCACTGGGATAATCTAGCAGTATAAAGGCCTGCACATGTTCTAATCCTTCAGGTTGCTGTCAAAAGAAAGGAGGGCTACATCCACAGCAGCTGGACGTTTTACTTTTTCATTTATTTGATGTGATAAATAAAAGACTGAAAATATTGCGTTAATTACGCAACATATTGCCAGTACGGATCTAAATCTGCAAAATGACAAAACCCGCGTTTGGTTGAGCGTTGGCTGCCATTATTAACTAGTACGAAAAAGGTTTCTTTTTTCCCTGAAAGATGCACCTGAACCACAAACTTACCAGTTTCCAGATCCGACGATGCAGACTTTCTTTCCAGGCATTTTGAAAGTAGTAAATCGTGTGCGTCTGAAAATGAAAACCCTGTTGTTCCTTTTTCCCTCGTCTATTATAACTTCCTCATACGCCCTATAAATTTCTACAGATCCTCCCCTCGCCTGCTCGCCACGGACAGCCGACACCTCTTGCTTTTGCAAAAGTGGAACTATAACAAAAATAATGACAATGTAATGCAACTAATACTACAGACGTCTAAACACAGCCGCGACAATTGATTTTATTTTATTTTTTACACGTGTTATAAGGCTTACAGTTCACTACTGGGTTTATTTTATAGAGCTGAACGGTAATAGTGAGCTTACAGAGAAGAAGGGGAACCCCCATGTGTAGTGCATTAACGTTTTACCGCTCATTTATTATTGAATATTGATTGGAAACGCAGAAAACCGCGGTTACTCTGCCTTAACGCAACAACCGACGTCAAGTTTTATTATTTGATGACGCTTCCGGTTTAAGGTGTGTTTTCAAAATAATGTCCGCTCCTACATATAGCCTAGACAAACAAACAAATAAACACGCAAACACGTCAATACATATTTGCAGAGAACTTATATATGTGAACATATGTAAACGTAAATATAAAAAAAAAGTTTATTTTTCAAAACTGTGCTCATTTTCGGAAATCAAATCAGCGTGATTTTCTCCCATTTATAACATTAAATGTTAAAGATTTTTTTTTCATATTTGTATGCTCACTTGTTTATTTATTAGAAGAAAAAACCGATAAGAATACAATAAAACAATAATGTAATTTATAAAATTGCTCCACTTCCGGTTAAGGTTTAATTTTACCTCTTGACTTTTTTTTTTACCTTAATCATTTTTAAAAAATCCTATAAATATTATTTTGTCTAATTTCACCGGAGCAGAAGGTCAGGTGGATTCACCTGGCTAATAATTAAATTGGTTTAATTTGTTTTCTATTTAAAACGTTTACAAGACGGAAAGCCTGCACTCGTGATCTAGTCATGTGACAGTTTTCCTGCCAAAGCAGTAAATATCAGGCGAGCTAACAGGCTACATAGCGACTCCCAGTATTAGCAGCACAGACCATGTTTTATCAGCCTTTATTCACCGTAACCAGTTAACAGTTGGGCGGCTGCTGGGTAAGCGATGAACCGACAGCCTCACGTCGTGTTATAAGGGAGGCTCGTCCACTCATCAAATCTGTGTCACTTAGCTGGCTTGACAGGTTAGCAGGCTGAGTTAGCGTCTAAAAAGGAGGCTGAGTCGCTAGTGACTATGCAAGGGGAAACCACGGCTGTACGAGTCACGGAAAACGAAGGCAGGCTGGATGTATTTCCCCAGAGCAAGACCCCAAGCTCGGGGAGAGCAAGTGCCAAAAGCTGGCAGTATAGGTGGGTGGCTGTCCTGGTTAGCCCTGAAGCTATTTCACTCATTCAAGGCGTATTTAGTTTACCTATCCAACGAGGCACCAGCAGCCTCGTTGTGATGCATCCATTATGTTCTGATGTTGTAATGATTGATACATGTGCCCTTTAGTTTATGATCAAATTGGCCTTCTAATCAGATAGGTAGAGGTTAAATCACAGCGCCCTATAAGCAGGTCTGTCACCTGGCTCTGTGATTGATTTGTGCATACACCTTTGTGTGTTTATGGGTGTGAAGTCAGTCCAAGTATTTAAAGTGTTCTCTGTCTCCTTTCGCCTGATAACCTCCCACGCCAGTGACCACATGGAGAATATCGATGGCTACTTGATGAAATATACCAACCTTGTAACAGGGTGGCAATACAGGTGAGTTTTACTGAAATGCTACAGAGTGTGGCGTCCCAATCATAAGTCTGTCTTAGCAGAATTCACCAGCCTCTTTCAACCCAAGTTCCTCGTTGTAATCCAGTCTAATCCAATCCAAGTAATGCCTTGGCGGTTTGTAGGGGAGAGCGAAATTGTCATGGTGGCTGTTGTTTTGCAGGTTCTTTGTCTTAAACAATGAGGCGGGCTTGCTGGAGTACTTTGTCAACGAGCAGTCGCGGGCCCAGAAGCCCCGGGGCATGCTCCCCCTGGCAGGGGCTGTCATCTCGCCCAGCGACGAGGACTCGCACACCTTCACTGTCAACGCCATCAGCGGGGAGCAGTACAAGCTCAGGGGTGGGTACCTAAATACACACACCGACTCCTTTTCGTCAGCTCCGTTTCTACCTACAGCCCTACTGTCATCACCATCCATCAGGTTCATGCAATATTGATCCGGATGTTTTCCATTATCTGCTGCCGGTGATGCAGGAGAATACAGGAATCGATGTTGAGTAAGCTCATTGTAGATAAACCGTAACAAGGTTTTGCTCTCTTGTTTTTCTTTCGTGTGTGTGTGTGTGTGTGTGTGTGTGTGTGTGTCTCAGCCACCGATGCCAAAGAGAGGCAGCACTGGGTGAGCAGACTGCAGATCTGCACACAGCACCACACAGAGGCCATGGGGAAGGTAAGATGCTGTGCGTGCATATGGGCACATATTGATAGTTGTATGTTGTTTGCAAGGGTCGCTCACACCTCAATCTTGTTCCTGCATGCAAATATGCATATATATATATATTATACTCTCAGCATTTTAGTGACCACTGTACAATACCCCTTAAAAGTGTGTGTGATGAGTTGTGTTGACATAAAAGTGTGACTCTGCCACGGAGTGGATGTGAGCTGGACAGTTTTCAGCTTCCTGTTTTCCTTCCTCATATGACAGAGAAGCATTCGAACCAAGCCGGTGCAAAATTCAGTAGAGCTGTTTAATATTAATGCTTCTGCAAAAGATAAGGTTTTACCTTTGTGTGTAAGCACAGTGATTGGTAGTATTGACCTGGATATTGATCTACAGACTGCTATTCTGCCCACATTCTATTTTAATGGTCTTGAGATATGAGAACTAAAAACACAGAACTCCCCAAAGCTCTTTTGTAGCCGTGGTTGGAAATGCCCAGGAGCTATATGTTCTTATGGCAGATGTATGCAGTGTAACAGTAACTGCTAAATTTGTTTTTTACTGTAATTTATAACTTTAAATGGAGTGAAATTCACCTTAATTGCCCATAAAACCCCGCCTTTCTTAGTGGTGCATTTGTCTTCAGATATTTATTGTTTTTAGAAATTGACTTTAGACATAAATGTGAGTGAGGTATATTCTAACGACAGTCAACATTTTGCATTGCACAGAGTAATCCCCCACCCAAGTCCCGGAGCTACTCGATGGCGTCTCAAGGCAGCGGTAGCTCCCCCATGTCCCTGCGTCGGCCCAGCCAAAATCCCCCCGCTGTATATGGCTTCAACAAGGGCTCGTCACTATACTCCAGCAAGAGGTCCCTGCTGCCAGACCACCTGCTGGACGCCAGAGAGGTGCAGCAAGCCGGAAACGCGCTGCTTGCATGTTCGGCTGACCTGGAATATGTATTTTGCTCAGAATCTATTCCTGCAGTTACATGTGTTAACATATAAATGACATGTTAGGACCAGCAGTTGAATAGGATGATATGTGCTAAAACAGCTTTTACATTAACATGCAGCAGGAGACAAGATGGACACAAGCAAACGTTTCATTTTCTGCCAAGTTTTTAGTCTGCTGTTTGGCAGAAATGTGAGTTACAAGTGAAATCAAGAAAATCTGCATCTGATCCAATCAAAATGCAGTTAGATTTTTTTTTTATCTGTCACTGGGACGTTTGATGCATCTGTTACGCAACCAACCCTGTCCGCAAAGAACACACAAACACAGAGGGAACGCAAGAACTGTAACTATAACAGGCAAAGATTTATTCAATTTACAGGATAGATAATTGGTTATTGTTGACTATAAATTCCACAAAAGTAACATGATGGCTTTCTATAATATTTATGATTCATCTCATACCCTCTGGAGAAAAATTACATGAGCAGGAAAAAGAAAAATATGGCTGGCACTCTACTCACTACATTAGGTTTCACTAATGTTTAAACTTCAGGACAGTGTTGATATCTTATAGAGCTCCTAAGAACTGCAAGCAACATTATGTTCCAGTAGTAAAAATATAATATTGAAGACTGAGTTTATAGTAGGGCTTATGTTGATTTAGATTTGTTTAGTTGTGATCTTCACTTTGACCCATTTGGGTGATGCTGTTTGTCCACAAGAGGGTACTCTGGTCTTTCCTTTAACATCAGTAGGTGTGATCTATCTACTGTGTTGTGCATACATAAAAAAGGGAGCCAGGTTAAAATATTTCAGTTCATTTCAACAAAATCAACAGCACGTGCACACATCAAATTCATTACACATCTTGACATAGTTGTTTTTGCCCAAAATAACCAAACCATTCTCAATGATTGCCCCCAGATGATGAGCCAGGCCCAGGGCCAGCACAGAGACCTGATCCAGAGCATCGAGGGCCTGCCTGCAGCCCCCGGCCTCTCCCCTCTGGACCAGGATCTGCTCATGCTCAAGGCCACTTCCATGGCCACCATGAACTGTCTCAACGAGTGCCTGCACATCCTGCACCTGCAGCAGGTGGCCAGGCAGAGAGGCTCCCTGGGAGGTCAGTGGAGGGGGGGTTGATGTGTATATGTTGTATACGGTGATTGTTGGTTCCTGCCTTCTCTAGGCTTTTTTAGATACTTGCAGGTGACTTTTTTATTTTAACTTCGCCTAAGACTTGCAGTACTTACAGCAAATCATAGTCTTGCACATGCAGGCCTGCACCCAATCAGTTTGTGTTGGCCCGACAGTGGAATTATTTTGCATTATTGATGGGGAACTGTACCTATTCTTACCACCTGTCTCGAAAGTAATGAGATCTCAAATGGTTAAAATATGCATCACACGTTGAGGACAAAGGTAAACATAAACCAGCTTCATATTGACAAACATACAGTGCAGTTTTAAAAAGAAGTGTCTGACTTGCTGATATTTCAACTCTTTCTATTTAGGGATGATTTGAAGTGGGAAAACGTCCCCAGCTAATGTCCCACTTTTTTCACAGCAGGTCTCATTACTTAATGTATATTTCATTAGGCCAGACTCATCGCAGCAGCCAATCGGATTAAGTTGTCTGACGACGCACAAGGCGAATTTGAATGAGGTCTGCCCACCTCTAAACATACATATAAAAATGCCCAAGCAGTACCTGTAGTGGTTTAACCAATCAGAGGATGGGGATGGTTCCTGTCGGCGGGGCCAAAGTATCCTGATACTTGGCTCATCGGAGGAGTTGGGTTACACTCTTTTGGTCTAGGGCATCTGGCTAAGAAAAAAGCCATCTGTCCAGTCAGCAGCCAGGTGGTTGTGAGGTGTTGTGTGGCAAATGGAAGGCTCAGTGGAAAGCTACGTGTGTGTGTGTGTGTGCGTGTTTGCGCAGCTGTGAGTGTCGGGGGATTTTGGAGGGCGGGGGGGATAGTACAGGGAGTACCTCTAAACCTGCCTCTGTGCACTCCCCATCCATGGCAGGACCCACCATCGAGTGGTTGGAGCCCAAGCTGCCTGACATCCTGAAGAACGGCAGCAGCTCCCTTGGGAGCTTCACAACAGGAGAGGGCCCGCTGGAGGGGAGCCGCCTGGAGCTCAGCAGCCCAGAGTCCTGCAGCTTCTCTGGGGTAAGACCATCACAATGACACCCACTCTACACCAGGAAGCAGCTAAGATATTTTCCTGAAAAAGTTGCACCAACTTGTTGGTTAAGTTTGATTTGATTTATTTCCTATAATTTATTTTTTTTTTAAAAGCTTGGTTGAGCAGTTATGCAGTCTCTCCCAACATAAACAATCACTTACCGGTGACCTCCACAGAGCCACTCTAGCAGTTTGTTGACTAAATCACATTCCCCTCCCATAACTCTCTAAGGAACAGGAAGACATTGATGCGGAAGATGAGGCGGAGGACTGCTTCACAGACAAGGAGGAGGACCTGGGCGCTGTGGAGGAGGAGCGCAGCGTCATCCTACACCTGCTGTCCCAGCTGAAGCTGGGCATGGACCTCACGCGGGTAGGTCGAGTTCCATGTACCGCCAAGCAGCAAAACAATGTGATATATATTACCCTGTGGCATAAAGAAGTCATCCACAAAATGCAGTTTGTAACACTGCTGTATTTTCAAATACTCTAAGAAACCCTAAGAGGTCACGAGGAAGGTTTATTTTACACTCCCATTTTAATTTTATTGACTTCCTCACATTGCATACTATCTTGCTTGTAGCACGTTTACCTTTTTGTCACTGTCCAACGAAATCTCCAATTTGTCTTTATAGGTTGAGAAAATTCCCTTACCAGACCATTTAAACATACAGTATGTCGTTTTCTGCCACTAGGTTGTCTCCACATCAAAAAACGTAGTTGGATGACGTTGTGAAGTAGCATGGCATCACGTTGTTTCATTGTTAAACCCCACCGATGCTGATAAAAATCTGACGATAATGTTTAGTCAGGTTACAGACCTCCGACGTATCCCCTGTCGTGTTCACCCGGAAGATCCCAAATCCCAATTTTCCTCAAGGGGCTTTACAATTCTCTACCCTCTTTTCTTAAAAAAAATGTCTAAGCGAGGATAAAAAATGGGAGAAACCTCACAGTCACACCCTCTGCCAGGATGCACAGACATGCAATAAATGTTGAGTGCTCAGAACAAAATCACTTTTGATGACACAATTTTGGATATATGAAAAATGATAAAATATATGAAGAGTGTGGATCAAGGAGGAAAACAACTTTAGATGTCACTGAGTGAGCCATAAGACCTATTAAGAACTATTGATTCAATTCAAACTATTTTACTGATATTAGGTGAACCAGTTTCAGAATTTAAGTTGGAAAGAGTTAAAGTCTCGTCGCTCATATTGGTGTCATGTACTTCTAAATCTAAATCTACAGATTAATAATAAGATGTTGAAATTATGAAGGCATTCACACAAACACAAGGGTGGTTAACTCCAAGTCATTGAGTGAATGAGCAGTGCCTGATTTGGTGAAAAGGATAAAAAAAATTGTTTTGGTGAAGAATAATCTTTAACTATAGAGAGGTATAGTGTAATAGACGGCCACTATATTATGTCGCACTTAAAATTACAGCTTAAAAAAGCAACTTGTCTGAATGGAAAAAGTCTTAGGTCAGGAGTCATTGTTAGGTCTGTTTTTCAATCGTCTTACAACCTGAAGTAAGTACTTCTTGCTTTCTAATTACTTTTCCTGGACAGACACACACACACTTAAACACCAAGAGTCGAGTCCTGGATAGACATTCTATCTTCCAGTGTCAGTTTGTTCTAGTATTTGGATATCCTCCTCTTGGGTTTCTGATTTATCGCAGTTATCTGGTGGATCCACTGGCTTACCTCAGATGGAGATGCTAGTAGACACTGTGACCCTGGGGGTCATGTCCATTGTACGTCACATTGTATCTTGCTCGATTTACTGATGGTAAATAATATGATAATGCACCTTAAACCTAACTAAATTGTGAGCATATTTATTATTTATTTGGGCTCTCCTCCCAGGTGGTCCTCCCTACCTTCATCCTAGAGAAGCGCTCTCTGCTGGAGATGTATGCTGACTTCATGTCACACCCGGACCTCTTTGTGGCCATCGCCGACGGCAGCAGCCCGGAGGACCGCATGGTCCGGTTCGTGGAGTACTACCTCACCTCCTTCCACGAGGGCCGCAAGGGCGCCATCGCCAAAAAGCCGTACAACCCCATCATCGGCGAGACCTTCCACTGCTCCTGGAAGGTACCCAGGAGAACGGACGCCTCCAAGGAGCCCTCACAGGGAAGCCCCGACCCGGCCACTTCCCAGGACCCCTATCAAGTGCGCTTTGTGGCGGAGCAGGTGTCCCACCACCCCCCTGTGTCTGGCTTCTATGCTGAATGCCAGGAGAGGCAGATGTGTGTGAACACGCATGTGTGGACAAAGAGCAAGTTCATGGGAATGTCCATCGGGGTATCCATGATAGGGGAAGGTAAGCAAATGAAGTAGTGCAGAAAATCCAACAGCATGGTCAAGTGAAGAAGTGATTAAAAATGTATTAAAACATTTTGACCTAATGAAATGATTGAACCTGCTACTAATGTTTCTCTCTTTGTCTGTTTATCTTTCCAGGTTGCTTATATTTGTTGGAGCATGATGAAGAGTACACTTTCACGCTGCCTTGTGCATATGCGCGCTCCATCCTCACCGTCCCCTGGGTGGAACTGGGCGGCAAAGTCAACATCAGCTGCACCAAATCGGGCTACTCAGCTATCATCACTTTCCAGACGAAACCGTTTTATGGGGGCAAATTACACAAGTGAGTCCCTCGCGGGGTAAAAGGTTATATGAATGCTGTTGTCGCTCTGCATCCCTGTAGTACCTCACCAGACATTTGAGAATACAAGAAAATGAGAATATAAGAATATACATGCAGCTTTTTAAAATAACATATAAACAATATTACATTTTTCATCCTCCTGCCTTAATGTAGGGTAACAGCGGAGGTGAAGCACAACACCACCAATGCAGTGGTGTGCCGTGTGCAGGGTGAGTGGAACGGTGTTTTGGAGTTCAGCTACACCAGCGGAGAGACGAGGGTAGTCGACGTCACCAAGTTGCCTGTCTCGAAGAAGAGCGTTCGACCGGTTGAGAAGCAGGGTCCGACTGAATCCAGGTCAGAATGGTGGCAGGCTTTATTTTGTTTCGCTTTTGTTGCTATTTTTAAGTTCATCCAAAAACCGGTTGGTGCAGCCCTGTTACGTTTTTGCACATCTTCGAACACAATGATGCCTCTCCGACATCTTACTCCAATTAATAGTGACATGTTGCTTAATTATTTCACCGCATTCCAGGCGCCTGTGGCAACATGTGACAGAGTCCTTACGGGAGAAGGATATCGAAAAAGCCACGGAGCACAAGAGGCTTCTCGAGGAGAGGCAGAGGACAGAGGAGAGGCACCGCGCTGAGACCGAAACCCCTTGGAGGACCAGATACTTTGAAAGAGAGGTGAGCATGTCCACCACATTGCAGTTACCAGTTTGCCTCTCTCTGATTTATTTTTCCATCCATTTTCGGAATTTATTACAGTTCATGCAAAGACAATTGGTAAAAAATGATCTGTTTTTGGTCTCGCGGAAGCTGCAGCAGTAGACAGGAATTAGGAAGCAACGAAGCACAGCCTGTGGAAAGTCATCTGTGCTGACGCTAAATAAATTTTAAATCACCTTGAGCATTAATTCTGTCTCCTGCTGGACCTTCTCCGTTTCAGAGTGTTCTCACCTTGCACTAAGCTATTTTGAATTTTCCAAGAATCTGGGTCATTTAGATGGACAACACTTGGCAAAGGGAGCTTTCTGTGATTCTGAAAAGAGCAAAGCGTTGCGTTTCTTATTCCTGTTTTGGTTAATAAACAGCCTCCACAGGATGGCTCACTTTATCAAACAGTAATGCTAAACTGTTGCAGATAATGACCGTAGTCATAAATAATAATATTTTAACACTAGTCTCTTCTTCTCCTCCAGGGTGAAGGCTGGGTCTATCACAAACCACTTTGGAAAAACTCTGCATTCAAATCCTAGTTCCTTCAGTCTGTATCTTGGATGTTGATATTGTAGATTCAGGAATGTGTGTGTGTGTGTGTGTGTGTGTGTGTGAGAGAGAGAGAGAGAGAGAGTGAGTGTGTGTGTGTGTGTGTGTCGTTGTGCGCTGAGCACGCACATTGTGATTGATGGTTATGAAGTGAGAGCATGACATGCACTGAGTTAGCAGCTGAATGCAACATGGGGGACGGACAGAGAGAGACAGCATGACTAAAGGTGTTCTCGAATCATCGCTCACGGATGTTCACAGAACCTCAGAGTCAAGCTTTTGTACCTGCTGATCCAGTTTGGGTTGTTTTTTTTGTAATCCATGTCAATGAAACATTCTTGTACAGGTATGGTACTCTAATTTACACAGCTTTAAGGTAGTCTGAGGAATGACGCTCTAAGTTTGGTTCTGCAAGTCAACTGGATAATGGTTTCTTTTTTCTTTTTCTTTTTTTAGTTGGTATCGGGTTCAAGTGGACTTTTGAGGAGTTTTCCTATCCTAAATACAATATTCAACATAATTGAACTCAAAATAATTGTAATTGCCTGAATAATCTGTAAATGCGTGAAACTGTTGTAAATTGAATTCAGTATACTGGAATGTAAAGTTGCTGTTCATGATCTTATTTCTCATATAACTTTTTATTTTTAGGCCTTAATTAAGCAACATTTTAGCACGTCCAAATCAGCTGATATGCCTTTGTTGGGATTGTCTTGTGTGTGTTTATCAGCTTTTATTGATCAGATGTTACTTAATTACTGGATGGGTGCACTAAAGAATGTCACAAAGTTACTCACAGTTAAGTAAAAGAAAAGAGGAAAAATCCAAAAACTGTTCTAACTTGGGCAGAATATTGTTATTTTCCGT